TGAGTAATATACAGAATCAAAGTTCTGAGGAAGATATCTCTCCAAAATGTAAACAAACCAGTGCATGTGACGTGTCACCTGACTACCACACACAGTCCATTCATTCATCTTTTCCTAAAATGGCCAAAACTGACAGTATTATTGCAAGGTTGTGTGACAGGTGATGAGAAATCTATTCATCAAGTCATCTTAGATATTTTGTTTTAATTTGAATTCAGTTACATTAGAAGAAGGTTTTTCTTGTTTGTTTGGGAGCAGGTCTTCTTCCACAGTCTGCCATGTTGGACCGCTATGTTCCTACAGTAGCCTACAGTGTTTGGAAAAACTAAACACGCTGTAGATGGGGCCTTTTTCGTAGGCTTCGCTGTCACTGTAGTTTCTCTACACGTTTGAAAGGCAAGAGGGTATTCAGTTGGTTGCTATGTGCAACTTCACTGCTAGATGCCACTAAATCCTACACACAGGTTGTTAAACATATTATCCCAAGTGTTTTGATTTTAAGACGATGACCATGCGACAGCCAATAGTTTTTGTAAGGCTACACAAGTCGTCCTTTTGAAAAGCAACCGGTTGTAAAGAGGGGATGTCAGTGGACCAACATGTTTTAAGTAAATACACGGCTGATTGTATCTTCTGTTTGACTCCAGTGACAATCTCGTTTGTCAGCTCACATGCAAGGTACGGATCGCTGCAAACTGATCTCTTTTTACAGACCTGGAATCAGCTGGCATCGGTGCCTCTGCTGGTCAAGGTTGTCGAAGGGAAGGCAGTAAGCCTGATCCTGAGTCAGCACTGAGGGGCTTTGAAAGTCCAGAGATGACCCAGTGGCGTGTGGTGGATTAGCTTCAACAAATCAAAATGGGATTGGCAGGTGGCTCCCACTCATTCAAGCCTTTAAGATGGACTTTACTCACAATATCACACCTCTAAGGAGAGCCCGCTCCAACAAGGACAAGAGGAAGGAGGCCAAGAAATGTTTTAATCCTGCTTGAAAGGGGCGTCGTCTTTTACCATGGAACACCATGATGAGCAAGCTTGTACAGGCCCAGGGGGGACTGAATTGCTTTAGAAAATAAAGTTAGATTGAAGATGTCGTGCTCAGTTCGACAACAGACCGTTGACGTATATTTACTTTTTCATTCTCCTCAACTGAATGAATTCCCCTCTCGAACACAGTGCAGCCGGGCCCCATCTGCAATGAAAAGGGGGAGGCCGGGCTCTAAATGAAACGCTCCTCCGACAGGGTAATTAAGTCCAGACACAAAGGGCTCAGCAGGAAGGAGTTTAATAGAGGAGGAGTTAGTATTCTCCGGGGGGAAGTTGGGTCCAGCAGAACCCCTTTGGACTGCAGGGAGGAGGAATGGCGCAGGAGGTTTGCTGGCCCTGAGAGCTGGCCTGCAGCCACTTCACACACCACGGGTACTGAGGACACACACAAAGATATTACTCATCCGTTTCTGCCTGCTGAAGTTATCAAATGAAACGCCTAAAAATAGGACTTCTCACATCAAAAACCTCTCAAATAAGATTGTGTCCAGCAGAATCCGTACTCAGAAGCTTTCAGGTGTAAAATATATGATGTAGGAAAAGCAGAGGCAGTGCCTAAAGACTGGGGTATGCTCGAAACAAACACGTTTCTATGCCATATCACGTGGGTTCATACCTCGTATCAGGTGAGACACAATTAAGCGTACAAATAGGAATAACAGTCTCTCCATTAGGGCGCTCATGATGTTGCACTTGGTTGTACGCACAAAGTTATGGAAGTGACTGTGTGAATTTTCGGTTTCAGACAGAGCCATCCCATTTCTGAATCGGAAAGGTATCGGGTGTGGGGGTTTCAGATGCTTTTTCGTGATTGGAAAAGCAGTTCGGATGAAGAATACTGACCCCAATAAAGACAAAAAAATAAAGACATCACATGCAGAGTGGTGAAAAGTAGAGCAAAAGACATGTTTTCCTTTTCTGAGATGTTTTTGAGCTATTAACGAGGGCTGAAAACTCTTCAGTATTCCAAAGAAAAAGCTTTTATCTTTAACATTATCACACATTATGAGAAATATTTAAATAAGGCATGTTTTTCCATCTAAAAGTCCCCTAAATGTCCCAACCTACAGGCTCAGAGTTACTGTTGGGTATACAAACAAAGCGGAGGAGGGAAAGCTGTGCAGAACACATGCTCTAATTGTGCTAACTTCCAGGGAATTAAATGATGAAATAAAAACACCTCAGAGACCCCAGAGGTTCGTAAAACTGCACATAGCCGACTTTGGTTAGAATTTCTTTTCGCACGTGAAATCTGTTTTTATTCCCCTGACACACACACAATGCCATGTAGTGTACAATCAAAAGGACATCGCTGCCTGAACATTCTACTTTTAACTCATTATATAATGTGTTCTCGTTGCTGTATTGCACTTATGCACGGGTGCTCGCATGCACCGCCGGACCGCCGTGGGCTGCATGCCTGCGCCACGTGCTGTGTATGTTGTGATGACGGAACGTCGTGGAGGCGGATGCGCTGTACTGTCTGGAATAGCGTTGATCCTCTTAAATGATTACTTGCTGCGACCAGAGAGAGAGGCGACCTGCGTGGGGAACATGCGGACAGATGTCCCACCCCCCACCCTCAACAAAACACACACATAGCATCTATGGTTAGTTCAGGCTACAGGGAATCTCTACGACTAGATCCTTTGCTTTTAATAGACTCCAAGTCCATTATCCCACTCATTTGTACCCGGACAAAGGCAATTCCTCTTATTTACTCAGCACCTTTTCCTGGCACAAAGTGGATTGTGTTGAATACTATGAGGAGAAAATAGGCCTCTTAATGAGGAAAGTTGGCTTAGTTAATTGTGGTTTGTTTATAAGGAACATCCCTTCAGATCAACCACTTTATAACTGCTCAGTTGAAGTTGTGTTTTTAAGAAACTTGTTGGATGCATTAAGATAAATTGATTCGCCATAATCGTTATATGAATTATCTTTTTTTTTTAATGCTTAAATAATATTTGAATCTATTCAATCTGGAAATAGCAGTGTTCCTGAGGGGATAAACCTCAACAAAGCTTTTATTTCACCTCTGACAAGAAATACAGGTTAGTCAACCCAAACCTGACCTGGGTCTTTTGTGCTCCAGGTTCCTGTGTCTCATTCACTCAGTTAATCCTTATGGGGCTTTAGAAATATTGGAAAGGCTCACACATGTACACCTGAACAAAAGCTAATGTTCTTGTAATCTTAACAGAGAATTGGGATTCTTGGAAAAGGCTTTCTCAGAAACGCCAAAAATAATTGTTCATTGATGGTTCATCCTAAGATCATCAATCAGTGATGTAAGCTGATCCACAAAGAGGCTCGGCTGCATATTTGGCCCCAAAAATCTTGATCCCAAATCTTGTATTCCGACAGAAGCAGGGAGATGGTGGAGGAAATTACAGATGTATGGCAGAAGAGTGCCAGCATTGTGTTTTCTCCCAGCAACTGTTGGGGAATGTGCGTGGCAGTGCTCAGTGTCACAGTGTCGAGCCTTGCCCTTTCAAGCATGCCACTCCCAAGTTCACCACCACTATAAAACATGTTTTGTCTTCGCCTCCCCTTTTTGGCGTCAATTCTCTCGCCCTCCTCTGTGCTTGACATTTGACTGTGTGTGTGTGGGTGCCTTTGGTCCCTGTAGGGAGTCGCGCTCTCAGGCTCTGCTGAGGCCCCAGATGCACACAACTGGAGTCCAGAGCGAGAGATTTGCCCTTTGTCCTGTGTTGTTGAGTGTGACCCTTCACGAACGCCTCCGTGCTGAAAGAAGCAGAACCATTCTATTGTATAAAATCGTTGCCCTCCTCTGAAATCCTAAATGTCGTAATTCCGTCACTGTTTGGGGTTATTCTGCTTTGTAGCCTTGGGGACACTTCTTTAAAAGACATCACTGACCCTTTGAAAACCTTTTTCAGGCTTGGCCTAGATGCCACAAATCAAGCTTTTCAGAGCTGGTCATTGACCTTTTTTGATCAGTCAATGATATTTCCATCTTGTACTTGTACTACTTTATATCGATGCTAGAAACTGTCATTAAATTTAATCAGTGCAACAATCACTCAAATTGCGGTTTCATTTCTTAGTTTCAATCGTTTGATCTACTGTTCAAAGTATACTGTGAAGGGAAGTGTTTGTGCCTTTGTCTTTGACCAAACATCAAGGGTACATTGAAGACCTCAGGCTAATTTCACTATGTTCCACAGTACGTTCCCAAAACGAGAGAATGCAAGGGCGGAGGCATGGATGTACTGTTACATACTAGACTTACTTACTGAAAATCCTGCATCAAACGGCACTGTACTCATTAAACAGAGCTTGTTGGAACAGCTGCAGAAAACCAACATCTGTGCATCTGAGTCGATCACATGACGTCATGTTCCTTTCTTTGCTTTCTTGGGGTTTTCTCTCTAAGCCAGATCTGTTTGAACCCTTTCCACAGTCCATCTCCCTTGATACCTACATCCTCGACCGTCAGAAAACACCACGCCGACAAGCTCTGCCCTGTTTTTTTCAGTCAAACTTTCTGCTGAGTGCTGGTATGGGAGGTTGGGGGAGTGCTGTGGTGGGACTACAGGGAGATGGGGGGATGTAAAGGAAGTGGAGGTAACCCCCCTCCACCTCACCTCCGCTATTCCCTCTCATTCCATTTCATTGCATCCTGGTTGGGGAGTTCCTGGTTTGGCTGCTGGTTTTGAGATGAGGAAGTTTAGGTGTTGTTTTGTGGTGTGTGGTTGTGTGTGTGTGTGTGTGTGTGTGTGTGTGTGTGTGTGTGTGTGTGTTTGTGTGTGGGGGGAGGGTCAAGCTAACAAAACAATGGGAGCTTTTGGTGAGAGGGTCCCGCCTTGACAGGAATTGTTGGGTGGGGGGTGGAGGGTGTGGAGGGGGGGGCGGTCAGGGCTTAGCGAAGCGTAGCCACTTCATTAGTCAGGGCTCTCCTTTTGCACCTCCTCCTCCTCCCATCCATCCTCCCTCCCGTCATGCTCTCGCTGCCTCTCCTTCCCCGCTCACTCGTGGAACCACAGAAGGCAGGAGCCGCTCTGGCTGGACAGCACTGAGCGCAGCGCAGGGTTTTGACGAGGATGTGCTTTCGAGGCTGATCGGAGTTGTTTGGTGCAGTTTCCTTGCTCGCTACTGTCCTGTTTTTGTTCTGAGGTAGGTTGTCTTGTGTTGTCATCCTTCCTGCCCCGTCCTGTCCTTTTGGCCGCTGACTTGCATCTTCTCTCCCGCGAGCTGCAGTTGTGGTGTCAGATGACTGGACGCAGCACTCTCAGGCTGGCCCTTTTGATGAACAACACAGGATGGGATTTTAGTGTCCGAGGCATTTCTAGATGTTTCTGTTTCTCTTATCAGTTTCAGCCCTCTGCGCAGGATGACATCAGTGGAAAACACCATACATCTAGAAGTTTCACAAACCCATTTTTGTGTGGATATTTAGGTTTCAATGAGGTGGTATTTGCGTGTCTGAGGAGGATGGGGGGTTTGTGACGGTGGGGGACTATTGTCTCAGCTGTGTTGACCAAATTATCAGTGTTATTAGAATCTACGTGCTTGTGATTGCTTTCTCCCCCCCCCACCCACACAGCCTCTCTTTGTCAAACACACACCCTCGGGGACATGAGCGTCGGGGTAATCCTTCACATCCTGTATGGGAAAGGGCAGAGAGGAGCACTCAGACTAACCCCATCACTTCCTCGTGAGAAAGTCCAATCCAGTAAAACTCAAACAAAAACAACATCCCGGCTGGTTTTTACCCAGAGGGCCGTTCACAGCATCCTGAGTGCCTGTTTGCAGCTTATATCCTGTTCAACTGTCCTCTGTAATGTTCATCCGTTACTACTTTCCGCTATCACTACATAGGGCGTCAGAGTTACGCGGTATTGAACTTTACCCGCTGATTCACCTGGACAACCTGCAGAATTCATGTCTTATAGAGTTGATTACACACTCATTACACAGTGAACTGGAAGAAGACTGAAGACTCTTCACTGCTCATAACTGAGGATTTTTGCAGAGGAATCACTGATAGTAAGGGCTGATAATATACTGTAGATGGATGAGCCAGTTGTCCGAAATTAGATTAAGACTGAATGGACTATGGGATAATCAGGGTATGTCCTGAATTAAGCTTAAAAGTCGCTGTGTGAAACCAATTAAGCCTGCAGGTCATTCACAGGGTTTTCTCATGTCTCTCTGCCGTGTCCCTGCAGTCAGACGGGTCTGGAGTAGGGCTGGATGATTAAACAAATCTATTTAGTTACCAACATCATGACTCTCTTAATGACCTAACTTCACTGTCATTGCATTTAATAAATAAATTGTCTTAATTGTGTGTACTCAAAATAGCCACAGTAACCAGAGATATCCAACCAAAGACCGTCACCTGAATTTTTAACTGGTCATGTGGTAATAATTCAGTACAAACGTATAGTTGTAAACAAACATGAGAAATAAAATGTTATGGTGTATTAGAAAAATAACTTATCAGAATCTATAATGTGATATAGATTTTAGATTAAATCGTCCAGCCCTTGGTGAGCTCTACATGCATTTTAATTTAGGGCTTCAACTAACGATCGTTTTCATTATAGATTAATCTGTCGATCATTTCCTCAATTTAATCGATTAGTTGTTTGCGGCAGCTTTTCTAAAAAAAAAAAAAATTGCAAAGTATGTTACGATGTTCTTGCATTTTTTTTTTTTTTTGCAAAATTGTATTTATTTTTTATTGTGTTCATTAAAAATCGAAGCTGACTTGTTCCAGTGAGAATAAAATGTAAGCAATGTGGTGATGTATAGCTCAATGTTTTGCGCGGGGGACTGCTATGAATGGTGAAACTCGCAGGAAACTACGATTGGTCAAATTTGTGGAAAAGACAAAATTGCAATTCCATGCAGAATTCACAGGGTTGAATTTGCGTTACTTGCAACTTCCTGGAGGGACTGAAAAAATGTCAGAAAATGGTGAAAAATGTTGATTACAGTGGCTCAAAGGGTTTGTCCACAACCAAAAGATATTCAGTTTATGGTCATAGAGGACTAAAGATGTTGAAATCCTAAGAAGTTTAGTTTGGCAGGAGGAAAAGGCTAGATTGGTTCTCTCAAAAACCTGCCTACCAGAACCTCTAGAACTGAATTCACACATTGTGCCTCCTTTGTGTAGACCATACACAAACAGAAATCTTAAAATATCAGTCTGTAGTCTTACAGGGAGTTGCGTGGTGGAACTATTTCTTGACAAACTGTTTATCCATCAGCTCAGCGTTTCTGCTGGTTGTCTGGAAACACCGAGGTGATGGCAAGACTCCGGGTAGTTACTGCTTCTCGCTTTTGTTTACCAAGAAATAGTTCCAGTATATAACTCCCCCTTTCCCCCTACTCTTTGGAGTGGTATCAATCTTAAAATCTCTTAAAATGTCAAAGTGTTTGTTCTAAACTGCCTGACTAGCCCATAATCAGATACCATGTGCATCTTGATAAGCCCTTTTCAGAGACCCAGAGGCGACCATCTGAACTTCTTCACTGACACTGTCTTTGATCTGCAGCGTAATGGAAGTACAACTGACTTGTCGATATGATCTCTTTTTCACCCATCTCTCTGTCTTATCTTTCCACAGAATGAAGAAGTGAATCATCTGTGTTTGCAGTCATGGCTGTCCAGACTGGCATCCAGGTAGGCTCACCCCATCTAGATAGGAATAGGTGTACTTTGGAAATGTATTGGAAGTGGTGCAGGTTGAAGATCAAGAAGCAGGAAATTTCACATGATTGTATTTACTTCAAGTCTCAACGCATTAGTACTACTTATAGCGCCCTCTTTTGGTCTCTGTACCGTTCTTAGTGTTCAAACAGTGAGTCACCAAGAGTATTTGTGTGCCAAATTGGGGAAAATGTTCTCAGACTGTGCTAGAGTTATTCAGATTAAATAAAGAAGTGCAGACATCTGTCTTCCACTCGACAGCTGCGGCGAGCCCACCTGTGTTACGGCATGCCATCTTGTTGTTGTTATGCATGTCTGACGTTCCACTGCTTAGACCCCGAGGAGTTTCTCCGCACATTTTTTAGGGGGAGTGGGTGGAATGTACAGCACTTTTTCCCTTTCCCCTCCCAGCAACGAAGTGTCAGCCATCCCAAAACCCAAAACAACAAACGTATCGTGTTACAGTTTTGTCACATGGCAGCACCTCGTTGCGGAGGGCTTTTCTCTCATCTGGTTTGGAAAGTCCTGGCGCTCCCCACCCGTCTTGGACTGTGGATATGCAAAATATGTATCCCAGTGCTATGCACATAACATGTGGCAGGAAACCTCTCAGACTGATGCCCATGTGTTGAGGAGGCTGTGAAAAGCCTCCCCCGAGCTGCTGATGAACTGTGGTTGAATGCTCTAGCTTCAGACACACCACATTAACCCCAAACATGTGTTAATTAGAAGGTTTTTATATTTAGATTGGTTTATAAGGTGCAGTATCTCTGTGGGCTACCTTATGTTTCTTCAAAGTCATTGTTGCTTTGTCTAAAATGTTGGTAAGAGTAGTTTACATATATGTACAGTTTACAGATAAATAACCCTTCAAGGACAATTCCTAGTTACTTTTTCAAGTCTGTTTTATAGTACTGTTTATAGTACATCTCATTCCCATTCATTCAGTGCTGACAGTGGTGATTTTTAAATAGTCATCTCTATAAAAAAATGGAGCAAATGCAATAAAAGTCTCCCATTTATCTGTCTGTGATGGGGGGGGGCATTTTTAAATTCATGTGACACAGTAAACACAAGAATAAATCTAGTAGTGATATTGCGTGTTATCAAAGGCACCCTGTGAGGATATTGATCCATATCAGGCTGTGGCGGTGCTGCAGAGACTGTAACGCCGCAGCTACTTCCAGCGCTCGGCTCAGAGCTTCACTGCCCATGTAGAGCACAGTCACATCCGATAACTGGTCACCCTCTGACTGCTCTGTTCACCCATGCTGAAAATGTATGCACTCATGGAAGTTTAAGTAGCATAAGGGCACACAACAGTGAAACACAACCATTGTTAAATATAATGTCTGCAGGTTTTGATTTCAGCTCATGGATGTCTGAATAAATCTGAGAATTCTTTTGTGATATCCACAAATCCCTCTCTGAAAAGCTGACAAATGCTAGTTTTTAGCTTGACACTGTTGATGAATTTTCCTGATGGGGTTTGGGATTTCTTATCATATAATCCTTCAAAGTTCAAAAATGGCAAGCAAAAACCATGGAGTGACCAGGTTTATATAGAAGTACATTAATGAGCAGGGTTACGGAGGTGTCGTCTTCTTGGAGCTTCGTTATCATGTAGCGATATAAACTCAACCTAAATTCATTTTGCTTTTAGTAGGGGAGTAGTTCTCTCAGTGAGGGAATTGGAACAAGTTGTAAACACAACACTGATATATTATCACCTAACAAAGCTAATATGGCTAACGTGCTGGCAAACAGTTGGCAAACTTCTTGACATGGAGCAACATTATCAGTCATTTCAAGTTTGTTTGTTTCTGGTCTCCTGATAAATGCAAATCCAATGCTCACTCAACATTCAGTATTCACCTTTAGCTTTGTTTTGGTCTCCATTCACGAACGTTCTGGCTCTTATGCTCCTAAATGCTCCACTATGTTTGCTAGCTAGTTGCTTACTTTGTCATTTGATGTTATTCACCTTAAGCAAAACAAAGAAGTTGCTGTGATATAAAAACAACAAGCTGAATGAGGTTCATTTCTAGCTACCCCTTTCACATAACACATAATCATTTGACCCATTGTTCATGTACAAATACTGATACATGCAGCTTTAATTAAACCATTTGTAAAGCATGTATATTTTTGTTTTGGGGAGTTCTGTCACAGACAAAATAGTGCAGCTTTCATATTGTCTATTCTAAACACTCCACCACTTTAAATACAGCCTTTGGGAGGTTTGGTAGTGTTTGTTTGTGATGAACAGAAGAAGAAGTGGGTTGTCAGCATGAGCAGAGATGCACACTGTGGCTGAACAGACATGAAAGAGCAGCACCTACAAAACCTTACCACAAACTCTGAGGAAGATGTCACTGATTGATCACAGTTGACAAGTTGGAGGAGCAGTCCTTAAATAACCCACCTCTTCTCCACCAAAATTGTCTTGCAAGATTTCCTAAAATTCCTCATGAAAACCAAGGTTACGTGGTCTTTTTTTTTCCCCCCCAGCATTACAAATATCTGAAATGAAAGTGACCCAACAAATGCCCAAGTAGCTCTATTACTATTTGAAAAGGGCAGCATGACCTCGTTAGTTCAGCCTGGCCAAACCAAACAGCTCTGGGTTTAGTCTTGATCCCGAAAGGTCAGAGTTCAGCAACCAGGCCATGAGAAGATTTCAAAAATTGCAAAGAGGGTAAACAGTGGTTCACATTTAATAAAGGAGTGGAAAGGTGTTTTGGTATGATTTTAATTTAACTTCTAGTTGGAGTTGTAGCTGAACATTTGACAAAGATATAGTAAAAACAGCGAGGTCTTTCATTTCTCACGCTTGTTGTTTACAGACTTCATATACATGAATCACATTACACCATTCGTCAGTGTGTACATGTGATACTGTCATGAGAGCAGCTTATATAATGACTATAGAAAATAACATCACAAGTAGAGATAATGATATTACAAGAAAACTGTGTGTGTGTGTGTGTGAGATTTCAATAGTGGATTGACAGGATCATTTTTGGAACATATTGCTACATCCCTCTTTTCCCATTGGCCTTCCTGCTATTGAATATTGTTTCAGGGAGTTTAGTCACCCTTGCTGTAAGTGGCTCGGGCTAAGAGCATCAGATAAATTCCTAAATGGTAAATGTACTGTTACAAACTGCTCATTTCTTACCAGGATTACCAAGCTACATTCCAGCATCTAACAGAAGTGGCGAAAGAAACTTAATCTATACTCAGTGCAATGTAGATTTTAGTTTAATGAACTGAATGCTCGCTGTGATCCTGTATACAGTCAGGTGACAGAGTACAAGGTGGATTATCCTGCTGTATATTTACGTAACTTCTAAACCTTACGCTACGCTGCCTTATTTTCTAATTAGCTGCATGTGGAGAAACACACGTATGTTGTTGTGAACCTGCGCCGCGGGCAGCCTGCCCTTCTGAACTGTGTTATGTAATTTGTGTGCGGGTCGGCTCATCCCTTTTTGAAGTGAGGTGACCTTCTCAGCTTTTAATGGCAGGTGTTTTTTGACACTTTCTCTTGTTTTTTTATGTTCGTGTTCCTCAGTCGAACATATTTGCTCCCACCCCGCCACCCTTTTTGGTTCAGAGGTCACCCAGGATGGGGAGTAGTGTGGAACTTGAAGAAAACAAAACATCCCAAAGCACTGACGTCCATTTTGATGTTAATTATTTGGCCTCAAGGGTTCACCTGATCAATCAAATTACATGATTCATTTATTAAGTTAGTACAATGAGTTGCCTCCAGTTGATTATTAAGGGGGTCATTTCACTGATTTCACACATTATGTTCAGTTTACTTGTCACGAGGAGTTCTCGGCCTGTGAAAACGGTTGTATAATGTCCTCTGGGGTTCTGTACGAAGTGTAAAAAAAATGTTTCTGCTTGTCCTTGAAACATACAGTAAAGTCTGCATAATATACTAGAGGTGTGGGCATTGAAAGAGGCGCGCATTTAGGACGTCTAATGAAAGATGCTGTTGAGCTGCATGGGAATTGTAGGATCCAGTGTTTTTACAGCTTGGAGCATACAAAGTTAGCCCATCTCAGCCCCTGCTACAATCTGTCTCTTGAGAATAGAAGTACAATACTAGATCACTGGTGTACGCCCTTGAAGTTATAATTTATGGTTAAGGCCAAATTTTAAACAGTCCTAATGAAGATAGACTCATTGTCACTCCTCTAATTTGACATAATCTCTTCTATTGAAGCATTGTGAGATTTAAAGGTTAAACTCGTTACACCCTCCGTTCCCCTTGTTGCTTAAAGAGATTTTGGCCACACCTTAAACATTATAGTATCTGCTAGATCCAATGCTTCGTGGAAGTGATATCACACTACCATACGCACACATTTAACCCGCAGGGAAGCTCAGAGCATCAGCAGAGTACATGACTGTATAAAAAGCTCTCTGTTCGACTGGCCAGAAGGTTTCCTGTTTGTAGGCCAAACACACACAATGAATTTAGGGCCTCAACAAGACTCTGCCTTGTTTTAAGCACAATAACCCCTTCACCACAGTGGACTCAATGTCCCATTATTGCTCGACGACATGTGATGGACACAAAGATTAAAGGCTGTATCTTAAACAGATGTCAACAAACTAGCTGGAGTGGGGGGGAGAAGTGTTATGTAATGTCTGGACAAGTCGTCATAGTGCACATCTGCTGCTGGTTTCCAGATTACCCCCTCCTGCTGCCTGCGAACAATTAATATGGTAAGAATAAAAAAACATAGGCATTTTTCCTCCACCTTTTTCCTAAAGATATATCTGACTTAATTTCAATAATGTAGGTTGTGGCTGTAAAACCAAGAACACTGAGGCTACACATGAATACTCTCCCTCTCTCCTTTTGTGAAAGAATTGTCAGTGCAGAACTGAAGTGACGAGAAGGGAACGGGAGGGAGGGGTGTGACAGTGGAGATGGATATGTTGGGACATCA